TTTCTTAGCCAGACCCAGTTTCTTAGCCAGACCCATTTTCGTATGAAGTTTCGCTTTTATATCGAGGTCCACCGACATAAGGAGGTTCACCGACATAAGGAGGTTCACCGACATAAGAAGGACCACCGACATAATGAGGACCACCGATATAACGAGGACCACCGACATAAGGAGGGCCACCGACATAAGGAGGTCCACCGACATAAGGAGGGCCACCGACATAAGGAGGGCCACCGACATAAGGAGGACCACCGATATAACGAGGACCACCGACATAAGGAGGACCACCGACATAAGGAGGTCCAGCGACATAAGGAGGGCCACCGACACCGACATAAGGAGGACCACCGACATAAGGAGGTCCACCGACATAAGGAGGTCCACCGACATAAGGAGGACCACCGACATAAGGAGGACCACCGATTTAACGAGGTCCACCGACATAAGGAGGACCACAGACATAACGAGGACCACCGACATAACGAGGTCCACTTACGTAACAAGGAAACTTTCATAAAAAGGTCCACTTTCAACAGAAACACATCAAACATACATCAGAAACAACACTCGCTTTTCAGAGAGAGGGATGAATTTCAGTCAATATGGCGGATAGGTTGGCTTTCTGATTTTACTCTTTGCATGTTTGTGCTTCAAAAATAGTTAGCCATTGCACTTTCCTCCATATTTTTACTGAAATGATACAGTTTCGTCGCCCAGCTACCGAGTGTTTGGTGCGATACTGTGAGCTGCGGATTTAATTTGGAATACTTTTCAACTGCGCCAAATGTGGTTTGTGTTGTGAACTGTACATTCAGAAAATGGGAGTGGCTTTTTGCCAGAGAACTGATGGTGCCTTGTACGATTAATTGCGGGTGCAACTACTGATCTGTTGTAATTCTTGCTTCCATCGTCAGTAAAGTGAATTTCTAGAGCCGGATGTATGTGTTGGCACTTCTGACAGCAGCCTTACGCATTTAATTCATGAGTATTCTACTGGCTTTGCTCGACTGCAGTCTTTATTATTATTATTATTATTATTATTATTATTATTATTATTAATTTTATTATTATTATTATTATTATTATTATTATTAATATTAGTATTAATGTTTTATTATTTATTTTATTATTATTATTATTATTAATTTTATTATTATTATTATTATGATGATGATGATGATGACGACTGGTGTTTGACCAGCGGCAGTCAAGGACATTCTGTGTGGTTTTTGCTGGCATGGAAATGGAGCATCTATAGGGTGAGCAGTTTGCTGTGATGTTGGCACTGTGATGTTGGCACTGTGATGTTGGCACTGTGATGTTGGCACTGTGATGTTGGCACTGTGATGTTGGCACTGTGATGTTGGCACTGTGATGTTGGCACTGTGATGTTGGCACTGTGATGTGGGCACTGTGATGTTGGCACTGTGCTGTTGGCACTGTGATGTGGGCACTGTGATGTTGGCACTGTGCTGTTGGCACTGTGCTGTTGGCACTGTGATGCGGGCACTGTGATGTTGGCACCGTGATGTTGGCACCGTGATGTTGGCACTGTGATGTGGGCACTGTGATGTGGGCACTGTGATGTTGGCACTGTAATGTTGGCACTGTGATGTGGGCACTGTAATGTGGGCACTGTGATGTTGGTACTGTGATGTTGGCACTGTGACTTCCTGACCTTTGAGAGTAAGAGCACAAGATCGCTAAATCCCAAGTTAAAAAAACAGTAAAACTTTGAAGCTGACAGATTTGAAATCTAACAAACTCAAGCTCAGTGTTCTCACATTCTTGTTTGATTCTCTGCAGGCAGTCCGGCAACCCCCACAATGCCCTGCTCAAGCCAGTTTCCAGGTCATGGGCTAATTTCAAGGTCACCTGGCTGGAGCTGAAATCAGAAAAATAGAAGATGCTTTCATCATGGTAGATATCTGAGACACGAAATGGATTATTGTCTTCCACGTGTATGTTTCAGCGCCCCGTTTGGGGGTTCGGGGGAGGGGGGAATAAAACCCCTGCCTCCTAACAAGCATGACGTAAAATGTGACTATTTATGCGTCATTGGCTCCAAGTTTTGACTCAGAACTCACGCTCTAGAACAAGACAAACAACACCAGAAGTGGACGAACAACCAGAACTTTCCGCAGAAGTTATTAATCAAATATGGCGTGTTGTCTCAAATATAGGTGTCTAAAGTAAAGCTGACAGCGAGAAACACGTCAACATAACACAGACTGTGGCTACAAACTCAATACAGGGAACGTATACCACAGAGTCTGTGAATGACAGAAGGGAAGACACACTACAGAATCTGTGACTGAGAGAAGGGAAGACACACTACAGAATCTGTGACTGGGAGAAGAAAGACACACTACAGAATCTTTGAGTGAGAGAAGCGAAGCCACACCGCGGAATCTGTGACTGAGAGAAGCGAAGCCACACCGCGGAATCTGTGACTGACAGAATGGAAGGCATACCACAGAATATGTGACTGACAGAGGGGAAGGCATACCACAGAATATGTTACTGACAGAAGGGAAGGCATACCACAGAATATGTGACTGACAGAAGGAAAGGCATACCACAGAATCTGTGACTGACAGAAGGGAAGGCATACCACAGAATATGTGACTGACAGAGGGGAAGGCACACCACAGAATCTGTGACTGACAGAGGGGAAGGCATACCACAGAATCTGTGACTGACAGAGGGGAAGGCATACCACAGAATATGTGAATGACAGAAGGGAAGGCATACCACAGAATCTGTGACTGACAGAGGGGAAGGCATACCACAGAATCTGTGACTGACAGAGGGGAAGGCATACCACAGAATCTGTGACTGACAGAAGGGACGGCACCCAAGGGAATATGTGATTGACAGAAGGAAAGGCACCAAGAGAATCTGTGACTGACAGAAGGGAAAGCACATAAGAGAATGTGTGACTGACAGAAGGGAAAGCACATAAGAGAATCTGTGACTGACAGAAGGAAAGCACATAAGAGAATTTGTGACTGACAGAAGGGAAAGCACATAAGAGAATATGTGACTGACAGACGGGAAGGCACATAAGAGAATCTGTGATTGACAGAAGTCAAGGCAGATAAGAGAATCTGTGATTGACAAAAGGGAAGGCAGATAAGAGAATCAAAAAATAACAGAAAACAAGACATATAAGATAATCCTCGAATAGCAGAAGGGAAGGCGTACAAGAGAATTTGTCCCCATCTGTTGTCCACATTTGACCAGTGTCCAACTGCTGCTGTTTGTTGTCCAGACATTGACTTGACCAGTGTCCAACTGTTTCCGTCCAGGTTCAACTCAAAGAGATGTCTTTATTGGAGCTTTCAAACACGCGACTCTCGCGACATACCAATTCCTTTCGACAACGTCAATCCTTCACAGAGCAGACAGTCAAACAAATACAAAACAGGCAATCATTCACGCAGGAGTCAGACAAGATTCACCACACGCAATTTCACACAGCAAACAGTCAAACAAAAACACAACACGCACGTATTTACACAGCAGACAATCAGACAAACACACAATAGACCATCAGACAAATACACAATAGACCATCAGACATATACACAATAGACAATCAGACTAACACACAATAGACCATCAGACAAACACACAATAGACCATCAGACACACAATAGACCATCAGACAAACACACAATAGACCATCAGACATATACACAATAGACAATCAGACAAATACACAATAGACCATCAGACATATACACAATAGACCATCAGACATATACACAATAGACCATCAGACATATACACAATAGACCATCAGACATATACACAATAGACCATCAGACTAACACACAATAGACCATCAGACATATACACAATAGACCATCAGACATATACACAATAGACCATCAGACAAATACACAATAGACCATCAGACATATACACAATAGACCATCAGACATATACACAATAGACCATCAGACAAACACACAATAGACCATCAGAAATACACAGAATGATACAGCAGACTATCACTCACTCACCTGTCCGGCAGTGTGTCTACTCACCTGTCCGGCCTTGTCTGTACTCACCTGTCCGGCCTTGTCTATACTCACCTGTCCGGCAGTGTGTGTACTCAACTGTCCGGCAGCGTGTCTACTCACCTGTCCGGCAGTATGTGCACTCACCTGTCCGGCAGTGTGTCTACTCACCTGTCCGGTAGTGTATCTACTCATCTGTCCAGTAGTGTGTCTACTCACCTGTCCGGCAGTATGAGCACTCACATGTCCGGCAGTATGTGCACTCACCTGTCAGTAGGGTCGTGCACTCACCTGTCCGGCATTGTCTATACTGACCTGTCCGGCAGTGTGTGTACTCACCTGTCCGGCAGCGTGTCTACTCACCTGTCCGGCAGCGTGTCTACTCACCTGTCCGGCAGTGTGTGTACTCACCTGTCCGGCAGCGTGTCTACTCACCTGTCCGGCAGTGTGTGTACTCACCTGTCCGGCAGCGTGTCTACTCACCTGTCCGGCAGTATGTGCACTCACCTGTCCGGCAGTGTGTCTACTCACATGTCCGGTAGTGTGTGTACTCACCTGTCCGGCAGTGTGTGTACTCACCTGTCTGGCAGTGTATGCACTCACCTGTCCAGCAGTGTGTACACTCACCTGTCCGGCAGTGTGTGCACTCACCTGTCTGGCAGTGTGTACTCACCTGTCCGGCAGTGTATGCACTCACCTGTCCGGCAGTGTATGCACTCACCTGTCCTGCAATGTATGCACTCACCTGTCCGGCAGTGTGTGTACTCACCTGTCCGGCAGCGTGTCTACTCACCTGTCCGGCAGTATGTGCACTCACCTGTCCGGCAGTGTGTCTACTCACATGTCCGGTAGTGTGTGTACTCACCTGTCCGGCAGTGTGTGTACTCACCTGTCTGGCAGTGTATGCACTCACCTGTCCAGCAGTGTGTACACTCACCTGTCCGGCAGTGTGTGCACTCACCTGTCTGGCAGTGTGTACTCACCTGTCCGGCAGTGTATGCACTCACCTGTCCGGCAGTGTATGCACTCACCTGTCCTGCAATGTATGCACTCACCTGTCCGGCAGTGTGTGTACTCACCTGTCCGGCAGTGTATGCACTCACCTGTCCGGCAGTGTGTGTACTCACCTGTCCGGCAGTGTGTGCACTCACCTGTCCGGCAGTGTCTGTACTCACCTGTCCGGCAGTGTGTGTACTCACCTGTCCGGCAGTGTATGCACTCACCTGTCCGGCAGTGTATGCACTCACCTGTCCGGCAGTGTGTGTACTCACCTATCCGCTATTGTGTGTACTCACCTGTCCGGCAGTGTATGCATTCACCTATCTGGCAGTGTGTGCACTCACCTGTCCGGCAGTGTATGCACTCACCTGTCCGGCAGTGTATGCACTCACCTATCCGCCATTGTGTGTACTCACCTGTCCAGCAGTGCATGCACTCACCTGTCCGCCATTGTGTGCACTCACCTGTCCGGCAGTGTGTGTACAGCTGTAGGCATCAGAACAGCTGCCAAAGCCTTGTACAAGATGGAGTCACACACACCAACCAACGTGACCAGGGTGTCCTTATGTAGAATGGCAATGATATGAGCTGGCAGTTCTTGCCAGAAGTCGAAGATGAAGCTCACAAGCTGTGGGAGAAACACGGAAGGGGAATGTTTGTAAGGTTCCCACATTACACACTGACGGGATATCCCGGCGGAGACCCACTTTACATTCAGACGAGATCTTCCGGCGTAGACCCACAATTACATATAAACGGGATCTGTCTGTGGAGACCCACGTTTCATATAAATGAGATCTCCCCATGGAGGCCCACATTACATACAAACGGCATCTCCCTTGGGGACCCACATTATATATAGACTGATCTCCCTTGTAGACCCACATTACACACTAAATGGATCTCCCGGCGGAGACCCACATTACATACAAACAGCATCTCTCTTGGAGACCCACATTATATATAGACTGATCTCCCTTGGAGACCCACATTACACACTAAATGGATCTCCCGGCGGAGACCCACTTTAAATAGGCGATCAGATGGTGAAGGACTCCAGATGACACAACTCGCTCCTAGTCATGTCCTGATTCTTAGCTGTACAACACAGGCCACACAACACACGCCCATCGGTCCACACTACACAGGCCGCACAACACATACCACACAACACAGGCCACACAACACACAACACAGGCCACACAACACATACCACATAACACAGGCCACACAACACATACCACAACACATACCACACAACACAGGCACACAACACATACCCCAGAACACATACCACACAACACAGGCCACACAACACACAACACGGGCCACACAACACATACCACACAACACAAGCCACACAACACAAGCCACACAACACATACCCCAGAACACATACCACACAACACATACCACACAACACATACCACAAAACATATGCCACAAAACACAAGCCACACAACACATACCCCACAACACATACCACACAACACATACCACACAACATATGCCACACAACACATACCACACAACACATACCAAACAACACAGGTCACTGGACAGTGTTCCCAGCACGATCAACATCACATACAGAAGGCTCACCTGCTCACAGCTGACTGACATGACAGTGTCCACGATCTGCTGACAGTGAGGTCGGTACAGAGCGAGAAAGCCGGCCAACTGTCAGAGACAGACAAATACAAACACTGAATCTACATCAGAAAGACAAACACAGACACTGAATCTACATCAGAAAGACAAATACAAACACTGAATCTACATCAGAAAGACAAATACAAACACTGAATCTACATCAGAAAGACAAACACGGACACTGAATATACATCAGAAAGACAAATACAAACACTGAATCTACATCATAAAGACAAAACACAGACAATGAATCTACATCAGAAAGACAAACACGGACACCAAATTAACATCAGACAGACAGACAAGGACACCGAATCTACATCAGGCAGCCAGACATGGACACATTGTCAACATCAGACACACAGACAGGGACACAAGTCAATGCCACCAAGCTCCAAGTCAAGTTTTAAGTCACCAAAACTGACTGGAGACGCAAGTCTAGTATCTCTATGTATCAAGTCACTTACATGCGACAATGCTCATAGACTGACCCGGTTCCTCTGCTAGAATACCAAAACAACCGCCAACAATTGTTGGATGTGCATGTTGTATGCAAGTAGCAGAACTGAATATATACGACAGCCTGAAAGCTGGATAAGTTGAGTCAAGAACTGACATCACAGAACTCGGGGGATTCCTATGCATGCTCCGTCCTCATCTTCAGCAGCCAGCGCACAATTACAATACTGATGGTAAAGCTGGATAAATCCAAACCGAATTGATTGTGTCATGTTTTATATGAAGACGTCTTAGATTGTGACGTTTATCATCGAACCTCACAATGGCCGGCCACGAACGGCGAGTCGTACCAGATCGTCGGTGCTATAGGTTGTAAATCAATTCTATTTCATCAGGTGACTCAAGTCGCATTCATAGTCAAATCGTGCGACTCGAGTTCCAACCTCTGCCAAATAAGCGTGGCCGGGTGGATAGAGCGCTGCTGGTACAACTAGATATCCTGCAAGATTGGTTCACCCTCGGGTTATCGGTGTAATATTAACAACAATAACAATACATATGACGATAAGAACGCCAGGAAAGTTTCACCTGTTGTGTGTCCATGTCGGCAGGCAGCTTGATGATGTTGATGTCCGGAAACTGGAGCAGTTGCTTGTCTACACTAGATCGGCGTGGCTGGGTGACAACCTATGATACAGAGGTTTCTTTACTCTACTTTCTATTTGAAATATTTTGCTGATAAATTCAAGTTTATAGCATTTCAAATCCTGGATACGCTAGTGACCACACATTAGGCGATTACAGTAGCTTGTCCATCTGTGGGTTCCTAGCCCTTTCTCTCGTCCAGTCTACGGTGTCGAATCTAAACCTACAACAGATGGACATTTATGATTGTCCAGTAACACACTGGCTGATATATGAACAATCGTTAACCTTTCTCCTATATGAATATCCCTAGGGATGTTCAAATTTGGACTCTCTCGTAATATTTACCAAAGCAAAGATAATAATCTTGAACAGGCTGTGCATTCAGAAAGTCAGCCATGAATGTTTAGATTGGGCTCTGCAATCGGCCAACATAGACTTGTCCAACCTTTCAAGAAATGCAGGGTGACACCACGTCAGTTACTACAATCAGACAGATGATCTGTTTAGGCAGTGTGAAAGTTGTACCATCCTTCCAGTGTTGTGGTGGGGATTGGTTTTACTAGATCTCGTGGAACAGCTGTAGCCTGCCTACAGAGGCTGCTCAATGTTGCCCTGCAAGACTGGCGAAGTATCACTTCAATTCTCTATGGCGATGGCACGTTGGTATCAGGGCAGGTAACTGAGAGACAAGCAATGGCCCACCACTAACAATCGTGGAGACAAAAGTCTGAGGATATACAACCGACTGCAAGCGACAACACACTGCCACTGACCTGATTCTCTGAGCTATTTCTGATAGCCCTGTGTCCCTGGAAGTCATCCCTTAATGTTGTTGGTTTCATCATAGTTTGGGTGATGGGAGAAGACAGAAGTAACATGCCATCATTGAAACGTCAAAGCACACAAAGATGCATTTGCTGTCTGGTGAAGACTGTCTTCAGTATGCATTTGCTGTCTGCTGAAGACTGACTTCAGTGCTGTCTTGAGAAGTCTGTCTTTAGTATTGTCTTACGGGGACCGTCTTTAGTACTGTGATGGAGATTACAGTGCTGTCTGGTGGAAACTGTAGTACTGTCTGGTTGTACTGTGTAGTTGAGACTACTGGACTGTCTGGTGGAGACTGTAGTACTGTCAAATGGAGACTGCAGTACTGTGTGATGGAGACTACAGCACTGTCTGGTGGAGACTACAGTACTGTCTGGTGGAGATTACACTACTGTCTGGTGGAGACTACAGTACTGTCTGGTGGAGACTACAGTACTGTCTGGTGGAGACTACAGTACTGTCTGGTGGAGACTACAGTACTGTCTGGTGGAGACTACAGTACTGTCTGGTGGAGACTACAGTACTGTCTGGTGGAGACTACAGTACTGTCTGGTGGAGACGACAGTACTGTCGGATGGAGACTACAGTACTGTCTGGTGGTGACTATAGTACTGTCTAGTGGAGACTACAGTACTGTGCTGTTTGGTAGAGACTGATGGAGAATATCTTTACTCCTGTCTGATGGAAGCTGATGGAGAATGTTTATAGTGCTGTCTGATGGAAGCTGATGGAGAATGTTTATAGTGCTGTCTGATAGAGACTGATGGAGAATGTCTATAGTGCTGTCTGATAGAGACTGATGGAGAATGTCTATAGTGCTGTCTGATAGAGACTGATGGAGAATGTCTATAGTGCTGTCTGGTGGAGACTGATGGAGAATGTTTATAGTGCTGTCTGATAGAGACTGATGGAGAATGTCTATAGTGCTGTCTGATAGAGACTGATGGAGAATGTCTATAGTGCTGTCTGATGGAGACTGATGGAGAATGTCTATAGTGCTGTCTGATAGAGACTGATGGAGAATGTCTATAGTGCTGTCTGGTGGAGACTGATGGAGAATGTCTATAGTGCTGTCTGGTGGAGACTGATGGAGAATGTCTATAGTGCTGTCTGATAGAGACTGATGGAGAATGTTTATAGTGCTTTCTGATGGAAGCTGATGGAGAATGTCTATAGTGCTGTCTGATAGAGACTGATGGAGAATGTCTATAGTGCTGTCTGATAGAGACTGATGGAGAATGTCTATAGTGCTGTCTGATAGAGACTGATGGAGAATGTCTATAGTGCTGTCTGATAGAGACTGATGGAGAATGTTTATAGTGCTGTCTGATAGAGACTGATGGAGAATGTTTATAGTGCTGTCTGATAGAGACTGATGGAGAATGTTTATAGTGCTGTCTGATAGAGACTGATGGAGAATGTTTATAGTGCTGTCTGATGGAGACTGATGGAGAATGTCTATAGTGCTGTCTGGTGGAGACTGATGGAGAATGTTTATAGTGCTGTCTGATAGAGACTGATGGAGAATGTCTATAGTGCTGTCTGATAGAGACTGATGGAGAATGTTTATAGTGCTGTCTGATAGAGACTGATGGAGAATGTTTATAGTGCTGTCTGATAGAGACTGATGGAGAATGTCTATAGTGCTGTCTGATAGAGACTGATGGAGAATGTTTATAGTGCTGTCTGGTGGAGACTGATGGAGAATGTTTATAGTGCTGTCTGATAGAGACTGATGGAGAATGTTTATAGTGCTGTCTGGTGGAGACCGATGGAGAATGTTTATAGTGCTGTCTGATAGAGACTGATGGAGAATGTTTATAGTGCTGTCTGGTGGAGACTGATGGAGAATGTTTATAGTGCTGTCTGATAGAGACTGATGGAGAATGTTTATAGTGCTGTCTGGTGGAGACTGATGGAGAATGTTTATAGTGCTGTCTGATAGAGACTGATGGAGAATGTCTATAGTGCTGTCTGATAGAGACTGATGGAGAATGTCTATAGTGCTGTCTGATAGAGACTGATGGAGAATGTCTATAGTGCTGTCTGATGGAAGCTGATGAGAATGTTTATAGTGCTGTCTGATGGAAGCTGATGGAGAATGTCTATAGTGCTGTCTGATGGAAGCTGATGGAGAATGTCTATAGTGCTGTCTGATAGAGACTGATGGAGAATGTCTATAGTGCTGTCTGATGGAAGCTGATGGAGAATGTCTATAGTGCTGTCTGATAGAGACTGATGGAGAATGTTTATAGTGCAGTCTGATGGAAGCTGATGGAGAATGTCTATAGTGCTGTCTGATAGAGACTGATGGAGAATGTCTATAGTGCTGTCTGATGGAAGCTGATGGAGAATGTTTATAGTGCTGTCTGATGGAGACTGATGGAGAATGTTTATAGTGCTGTCTGATAGAGACTGATGGAGAATGTTTATAGTGCTGTCTGATGGAAGCTGATGGAGAATGTTTATAATGCTATCTGGTGGAGACTGATCGAGAATGTTTATAGTGCTGTCTGATAGAGACTGATGGAGAATGTTTATAGTGCTGTCTGATAGAGACTGATGGAGAATGTTTATAGTGCTGTCTGATAGAGACTGATGGAGAATGTTTATAGTGCTGTCTGGTGGAGACTGATGGAGAATGTTTATAGTGCTGTCTGGTGGAGACTGATGGAGAATGTTTATAGTGCTGTCTGATAGAGACTGATGGAGAATGTTTATAGTGCTGTCTGATGGAAGCTGATGGAGAATGTCTATAGTGCTGTCTGATGGAGACTGATGGAGAATGTTTATAGTGCTGTCTGATAGAGACTGATGGAGAATGTTTATAGTGCTGTCTGGTGGAGACTGATGGAGAATGTTTATAGTGCTGTCTGATGGAGACTGATGGAGAATGTTTATAGTGCTGTCTGATGAAGACTGATGGAGAATGTTTATAGTGCTGTCTGATGGAAGCTGATGGAGAATGTTTATAGTGCTATCTGGTGGAGACTGATCGAGAATGTTTATAGTGCTGTCTGATAGAGACTGATGGAGAATGTTTATAGTGCTGTCTGATAGAGACTGATGGAGAATGTTTATAGTGCTGTCTGATAGAGACTGATGGAGAATGTTTATAGTGCTGTCTGGTGGAGACTGATGGAGAATGTTTATAGTGCTGTCTGGTGGAGACTGATGGAGAATGTTTATAGTGCTGTCTGATAGAGACTGATGGAGAATGTTTATAGTGCTGTCTGATGGAAGCTGATGGAGAATGTCTATAGTGCTGTCTGATAGAGACTGATGGAGAATGTTTATAGTGCTGTCTGATGGAAGCTGATGGAGAATGTCTATAGTGCTGTCTGATGGAGACTGATGGAGAATGTTTATAGTGCTGTCTGATGGAAGCTGATGGAGAATGTCTATAGTGCTGTCTGATAGAGACTGATGGAGAATGTTTATAGTGCTGTCTGATAGAGACTGATGGAGAATGTTTATAGTGCTGTCTGATGGAGACTGATGGAGAATGTTTATAGTGCTGTCTGATAGAGACTGACTAGTGTAACACTGTATGAGCAACAACATTTGGATGAACGCCGACAACAACTGTAACGCTGTATGAGCAACAACATCTGGACGAACGCAGACAACAACTGTGAGAGAGAGAGAGAGAGAGAGAGAGAGAGAGAGAGAGAGAGAGAGAGAGAGAGAGAGAGAGAGAGAGAGAGAGAGAGCCGACAACAACTGTAACGCTGTATGAGCAACAACATCTGGACGAACGCAGACAACAACTGTAACACTGTATGAGCAACAACATCTGGACGAACGCAGACAACAACTGTAACACTGTATGAGCAACAACATCTGGACGAACGCAGACAACAACTGTAACACTGTATGAGCAACAACATCTGGATGAATGCAGACAACAACTGTAACACTGTATGAGCAACAGCATCTGGATGAATGCAGACAACAACTGTAACACTGTATGAGCAACAACATCTGGATAGATGTAGACAACAACTGTAACCCTGTTTGAGCAACGACATCTAGATAGATGCAGACAACAACTGTAACACTTGTATGAGCAACAACATCTGGATAGATGCAGACAACAACTGTAACACTGTATGAGCAACAACATCTTGATGAATGCAGACAACTTACGGGTGCAAATCCTGGGTCGGACACGTCATGGCCATGCAGCAGGTGCTTCCCCGGACTCCTATGCCATAGTAGTGATACCTGTGTGGATTGAGCAACACGTGAGGGTCAGCTGTGTGGATTGAGCAATACGTGCAGGTCAGCTGTGTGGATTGAGCAATACGTGAAAGTCAGCTGTGTGGATTGAGCAGCACGTGAGGGTCAGGTGTGTGGATTGAGCAACACGTGAAGGTCAGCTGTGTGGATTGAGCAACACGTGAAGGTCAGCTGTGTGGATTGAGCAATACGTGAAGGTCAGCTGTGTGGATTGAGCAATACGTGAAGGTCAGCTGTGTGGATTGAGCAATACGTGAAGGTCAGCTGTGTGGATTGAGCAATACGTGAATGTCTGCTGTGTGGATTGAGCAATACGTGAAGGTCAGCTGTGTGGATTGAGCAATACGTGAAGGTCAGCTGTGTGGATTGAGCAATACGTGAGGGTCAGCTGTGTGGATTGAGCAATACGTGAGGGTCAGCTGTGTGGATTGAGCAATACGTGAAGGTCAGCTGTGTGGATTGAGCAATACGTGAGGGTCAGCTGTGGCAAACTAGACCAGGTCATCTGTCATACTCACACCAACGTATTTATTTCACTTCCAACCCTGACTACTTTTCATGTCGCATCAAAATCGTTATCCTCGTTGTCATCTCCTCGTTTAACATCATCATTTGAGCGACCAAAACCATTTCTATCACCAGTTCAACGAAAACTTGCAACATTAGTAACTCAGTGTTCACAACCAGCACCATCAATATCTCAGTGTTCACAACCAGCACCACCAATATCTCAGTGTTAACAACCAGCACCATCAATATCTCAGTGGTCACAACCAGCACCATCAATATCTCAATGGTCACAACCAGCACCATCAATATCTCAATGGTCACAACTAGCACCATCAATATCTCAATGGTCACAACTAGCACCATAACTATCTCAATGGTCACAACCAGCACCATCAATATCTCAATGGTCACAACTAGCACCATCACTATCTCAATAGTCACAACCAGCACCATCAATATGTCAGTGTTCACAACCAGCACCATCAATATCTCAGTGTTCACAACCAGCACCATCAATATTTCAGTGTTCACAACCAGCACCATCAATATCTCAGTGGTCACAACCGGCACCATCAATATCTCAGTGGTCACAACCGGCACCATCAATATCTCAGTGGTCACAACCAGCACCATCAATATCTCAGTGGTCACAACCAGCACCATCAATATCTCAGTGGTCACAACCGGCACCATCAATATCTCAATGGTTACAACCAGCACCATCAATATCTCAGTGGTCACAACTAGCACCATCAATATCTCAGTGGTCACAACCAGCACCATCAATATCTCAGTGGTCACAACCAGCACCATCAATATCTCAGTGGTCACAACCAGCACCATCAATATCTCAATGGTCACAACCAGCATCATCAATATCTCAGTGGTCACAACCAGCATCAGCAATATCTCAGTGGTCACAACCAGCACCATCAATATCTCAGTGGTCACAACTAGCACCATCAATATCTCAGTGGTCACAACCAGCACCATCAATATCTCAGTGGTCACAACCAGCACCATCAATATCTCAGTGGTCACAAACAGCACCATCAATATCTCAGTGGTCACAACTAGCACCATCAATATCTCAGTGGTCACAACCAGCACCATCAATATCTCAGTGGTCACAACCAGCACCATCAATATCTCAGTGGTCACAACCAGCACCATCAATATCTCAGTGGTCACAACCAGCACCATCAATATCTCAGTGGTCACAACCAGCACCATCAATATCTCAGTGGTCACAACCAGCACCATCAATATCTCAGTGGTCACAACTAGCATCATCAATATCTCAGTGGTCACAACCAGCACCATCAATATCTCAGTGGTCACAACCAGCATCAGCAATATCTCAGTGGTCACAACCAGCACCATCAATATCTCAGTGGTCACAACCAGCATCATCAATATCTCAGTGGCACCATCAATATCTCACAAACACAATAGCACAACATCAATATCTCAATGGTCACAACTAGCACCATCAATATCTCAGTGGTCACAACCAGCACCATCAATATCTCAATGTTCACAACCGGCACCATCAATATCTCAGTGGTCACAACCGGCACCATCAATATCTCAATGTTCACAACCGGCACCATCAATATCTCAGTGGTCACAACCACCATCAATATCTCAATGGCACCACCATCAATATCTCAATGTTCACAACCGGCACCATCAATATCTCAGTGGTCACAACCGACACCATCAATATCTCAATGGTTACAACCAGCACCATCAATATCTCAATGGTTACAACCGGCACCATCAATATCTCAATGTTCACAACCGGCACCATCAATATCTCAGTGGTCACAACCGGCACCATCAATATCTCAATGTTCACAACCGGCACCATCAATATCTCAATGTTCACAACCAGCACCATCAATATCTCAATGGTTACAACTAGCACCATCAATATCTCAATGGTTACAACCGGCACCATCAATATCTCAGTGGTCACAACCGGCACCATCAATATCTCAATGTTCACAACCGGCACCATCAATATCTCAGTGGTCACAACCGGCACCATCAATATCTCAATGTTCACAACCGGCACCATCAATATCTCAGTGGTCACAACCGGCACCATCAATATCTCAATGTTCACAACCGGCACCATCAATATCTCAGTGGTCACAACCGGCACCATCAATATCTCAATGGTTACAACCAGCACCATCAATATCTCAATGGTTACAACTAGCACCATCAATATCTCAGTGGTCACAACCAGCACCATCAATATCTCAATGTTCACAACCGGCACCATCAATATCTCAATGGTTACAACCAGCACCATCAATATCTCAATGGTTACAACTAGCACCATCAATATCTCAGTGGTCACAACTAGCACCATCAATATTTCAATGTTCACAACCAGCACCATCAATATCTCAATGGTTACAACTAGCACCATCAATATCTCAATGGTTACAACCGGCACCATCAATATCTCAGTGGTCACAACCGGCACCATCAATATCTCAATGTTCACAACCGGCACCATCAATATCTCAGTGGTCACAACCGGCACCATCAATATCTCAATGTTCACAACCAGCACCATCAATATCTCAGTGGTCACAACCGGCACCATCAATATCTCAATGTTCACAACCGGCACCATCAATATCTCAGTGGTCACAACTGGCACCATCAATTTCTCAATGGTTACAACCAGCACCATCAATATCTCAATGGTTACAACTAGCACCATCAATATCTCAGTGGTCACAACCAGCACCATCAATATCTCAATGTTCACAACCGGCACCATCAATATCTCAATGGTTACAACCAGCACCATTAATATCTCAGTGGTCACAACCGGCACCATCAATATCTCAATGTTCACAACCGGCACCATCAATATCTCAGTGGTCACAACCGGCACCATCAATATCTCAATGGTTACAACTAGCACCATCAATATCTCAGTGGTTACAACTAGCACCATCAATATCTCAGTGGTCACAACCAGCACCATCAATATCTCAATGGTTACAACTAGCACCATCAATATCTCAATGGTTACAACTAGCACCATCAATATCTCAATGGTTACAACCAGCACCATCAATATCTCAATGGTTACAACCGGCACCATCAATATCTCAATGGTTACAACCAGCACCATCAATATCTCAGTGGTCACAACCAGCATCAGCAATATCTCAGTGGTCACAACCAGCAGAGCAGCGTTGTCAGCATCGCCAGTTGTAGTCAGGCTTGCTATTGGTGTGGGTTCACGTTAGTAGCGCCCTGTGCACAAGCTGTCACCGTCCTGTTGCTGCTAGTGCATTTCACTGGCACTAATCTCTAGACATTTCAGCTCTCCTGGCAGGACTGTAGGAGTTGACTGATCAGGTGACTGTTCTGTCTGATAAATTTCTTTGTCTATCTGTCTGTCTGTCTGATAAATGTCTTTGTCTTTCTTCTGTCTGTCTGATAAATGTCTTTGTCTGTCTGTCTGTCTCTCTTGTTCTCTCTTTCGCTCTCCTTCTCGTTCTCTCTCTCTCTCTCTCTCTCTCTCTCTCTCTCTCTCTCTCTCTCTCTCTCTCTCTCTCTCTCGTTTTCTCTCTCACAGTTTCTCAGTTCATATTATTTATCTCGGCCTTGTTTGTTTGTTTGTTTTAGTATCCAGAAGCCTTGAGTTGTTAACCCTTAGGCTCGGTATTATGGATATCGCAACCTTTCGGCCTTGATTCCATTGTAAATACCGTAAATCTGGGAGAGCCCGGCTCTCTAGCGGAATTGGCTAAACCGGATTTCGCGGAGACCGGGTGACGTACTCCTTGTGGTCCGGGTTCAATCCCGGGGGTAGGCAGGAAAGCCACATTTTCTCCCAGATTTACGGTATTTATCTCGGCCTTAAATGACAGCACCACCTACTTCACGGAGATGTGTGACGGTGACGGAATCATCTATCAATAGATATATAAATCCAAGAGATGTCAGTGTACTGTTCTCTAGGTGATGATCAGTGACCTGTATGCTAGGTCTGTGCGGCTGTCAATATAGTGTGTGTGTCTGTGTGTCTGTGTGTGTGTGTGGACTACCAAACCGTTCTACCTGCTGACAAGTGATTATTAGGGTGCCGGTACCGTTGTACCCAGTATTAATTTGGATACCCTGCTGACCAGGATGTGTTAAATGTATACGTCTGTATAGGGTTTAAATGTATGTGTATCATTTATATGTTTGTATATGATTTGCATGTTTGTCTATGACAAATATGTTTGTATATTATTAATCTGTTTGTAATTGATTTACATGTTTGCATATGATTTATATGTTTCCATATGATTTATATGTTTTGATATGATTTATTTGTTTCTATATGATTTATTTGTTCCTATATAATTTATTTGTTTCATATTTGATTTATATGTTTCAACATCCCAAACCGTATATTTGACGACAGCGTAGCTAAGCGTTTGCCTTTCCTGTCCGGTTGATAACAGTTTCTGGACTGTCCTGTTGATAACGTTTCTGGACTGTCCTGTTGATGACAGTTTCTGGACTGTCCTGTAGATAACAGTATCTGAACTGACCTGTTGATGACAGTTCTTGGACTGCCCTCTTGATGACAGTTCTTTGACTGTCCTCTTGAAGAGAGTACCGGGACTGTCCTGTTGATGAGAGCACATGGAATGTCTTGTTGAAGACAGTACCTAGAATAACTTGTTGATATCGGTACTTGGACTGTCATGTTGATGACAGTAACTGGACCGTCTCGTTTATGACAGTACCTGGACTGTCCTGTTGACGTCAGTACTTACTTGGACTGTCATGTTGGTGTGGGTACTTACTTAAACTGTCCTGTTGCTGTCAATACTTGGACTGTCCTGTTGGTGTCAGTATTTTGACCGTCATGTTGGAGTGGATTTGTGGACTATCGTGTTGGTGTGGGTACTTACTTGGACTCAGTATTTTAACTGTTCTGCTGCTGTCAGTACTTGCACTGTCCTGTTTCTGTCAATACTTGGACTGTCCTGTTGGTGTGGGTACTTACATGGACCTGTCTTGTTGCTGTCAGTTCTTGGACTGTCCTGTTGCTGTCAGTACTTGGACTGTCCTGTTGGTGTGGATAAGTACTTGGACTGTCCTGTTGGTGTGGGTACTTTTTTAGACTGCCCTATTGCTGTCAGTACTTGGAGTGTCCTGTTGCTGTCAGTACTTGGACTGTCCTGTTGATGCCAGTACTTACACTGTCATGTTGGTGGGGGTACTTAGATTGTCATGTTCGTGTTAGTACTTACTTGGACTGTCCTGTTGCTGTCAGTACTTGAACAGTTCTGTTGCTGACAGTACTTGGACTGTCATGTTGGTGTGGGTACTTACTTGGACTGTCATGTTAGTGTGGGAACTTACTTGGACTGTCCTCTTGGTGTGGGAACTTACTTGGACTGTCATCTTGGTGTGGGTACTTACTTGGACTGTCCTGTTTGTGTGGGTACTTACTTGGACTGTCCTGTTTGTGTGGGAACTTACTTGGAATGTCATCTTGGTGTGGGTACTTACTTGGACTGTCCTTTTGGTGTGGGTACTTACTTGGACTGTCCTGTTGGTGTGAGTACTTACTTGGACTGTCCTGTTTGTGTGAGTACTTACTTGGAATGTCCTGTTTGTGTGAGTACTTACTTGGACTGTCCTGTTTGTGTGGGTACTTACTTGGACTGTCCTGTTTGTGTGGGTACTTACTTGGACTGTCCTGTTTGTGTGGGTACTTACTTGGACTGTCCTGTTTGTGTGGGTACTTACTTGGACTGTCCTGTTTGTGTGGGTACTTACTTGGACTGTCCTGTTTGTGTGGGTACTTACTTGGACTGTCCTGTTTGTGTGGGTACTTACTTGGACTGTCCTGTTTGTGTGGGTACTTACTTGGACTGTCCTGTTGGTGTGGGTACTTACTTGGACTGTCCTGTTTGTGTGGGTACTTACTTGGACTGTCCTCTTGTGCCTAGTCGCCTCGTACTGACACCAGGAAACTGCTGACGAATGATCTGGACAAGGGAGACAATTCTTGGTTTACCTTAGGTCACACAACAACAAAAACAACCTTGACTACTTCCCTTTATTTCATCACTCCATTCTTGGGCTTACAATCAACAATTCTGTTTGAACTGTGACAAAAGAATCAGAGACTAGTGCCACATTGACAATGTTTGTCCTTTCGCTTGATGCATCAGTCATGGAGGACGTTTTCAACCAATATCCCATAAAGCACACAAACTAGCAGCTGCACCAACATTATACACGCATCAACATATAGTCTATGAAGGCATCAAAGATTCTTTTTCTTCTTTCTTCTTCTTCTTCTTTCTTCTTCTTCTTCTTCTTCTTCTTCTTCTTCTTCTTCTTCTTCTTCTTCTTCTTCTTCTTCTTCTTCTTCTTCTTCTTCTTCTTCTTCTTCTTCTTCTTCCTTCTTCTTCTTCTTCTTCTTCTTCTTCTTCTTCTTCTTCTTCTTCTTCTTCTCTTCTTCTTCTTCTTCTTCTTCTTCTTCTTCTTCTTCTTCTTCTTCCTCTTCTTCTTCTTCTTCTTCTTCTTCTTCTTCTTCTTCTTCTTCTTCTTCTTCTTCTTCTTCTTCTTCGCCTTTACGTTTACCGG